GCGGGCTCGGCACGTGGAGCTGCGAACACGCCCGAGCCCATCACTACTGTTGGGTCAGGGCAGGTGCACTTCTCCCCCTCCTGATATCAATCCGCATACTGGGGTGGATTGATATCCTCAGCGCTAAGGCGGCCCTGTGCAGGCTGGAACTAAAACTTAATTATCGGCTGCTGCAGCTCCAAGTGTGCCTCCGCGGCAGCCGAAAAATTCAAAAATAGTCCCCTGTCTACTGCTGTCAGTCCAGCAAGTGAGAGAGGGGACTTTAATCTAAATCACTGGAGTGGGCACTCAGACTGAGACCTTCTAATAAAATAGGTAAAGAGCCCCCCCTCTCTCCCCGGTATAGGAGAGCCGGCTCTAAAGCCCTATTTACGGCCCGGGCCAGGAGGCCCCCATGAATGTGAGACCTTAGGCGACTGCTTAGACTTGCCTAATTAAAGAGCTGTCTCTGCCCCTCCATATTTCTCTCAGTACATGCTTCCTTTAACACATTCCATCTCCCCACGCATTGTTGACAATGCAAGCTTCAACACATCATCTCTGAGAAATACAATTCTGATTAACCTTGCTAATGTGGTTGCAGTTATAGCGTTATCTCCATGTTATGTACTTATGTATCTAATCACCAGTTTCATCTATTTACAGAATGGGTGTACGGTTTTGCCGATGCTGGCAAGTCAAATGGGGTCAGAGACAAAAGGACGATTGTTTGGCTGTAAGGTCGTAGAGTATAATAACCAGTCCTGATGTTCTATGTGAGTGCAGAGAGTGATAAGGCGCAGTAAGCCGTAGCAATCAGTATTTCATTAGACAAGTCACACGTGCAAATGTAAAACATAGATATAAAGTTGGCACATCAAAGCTTTAAAGCTGAAGTTTAATCTGCTAATACTTAGCCTTTCCTGGTTCCTCCTTTTCCCGTTATCAGCGGGCCAATGAAATGTTAAACAAAACCTTGATTCCATGACATACTTATTTGAGGCCCAGTGATGTCATCAATAGGTCTCTGAACATCTCTTTATGCAATGCTGGCAGATCATGGCTAGTGGGAGGGGTCAGCAGAGTGTTGTACATAGCTTCCTGATAACATTAAAACACTGTGCCTCAGTACTCTTCTCAAGACCCCCTCAGCCCTGATACAAGCACTGAGCTGGCTCTTGGGAGGAATTATGCCGATATCAAAATACCTTGGTGGGTGAATGTTAGTTTAGAGTGGGCTGAGGACATCCAGCATCAAACTCTTTCCTCACTAGCCATTGGATTTCAGTTCTTTCAGTTGCGAAGGCTCATCACATGTGAATTACGTCCACATCTGACGCTGAGCCTCCATGATTGAAAAAAAACTGAAATCCAGTCAAAAAAGGGTGGGACAGACACAGGCTGGGGGTGTGTGGGGGAAGAAACATGCCACATTCTTGGATTCCTGCAGCAGGAAGCCTTAGGTTCTTGCTGCAGGAATCCCATTCACATGGCATCAGTGGCATCACTAGGGGGATGTGGCCCGCACCCTGGGTAACACAATTGGAGCGGTGACGCCAACATTTTTCATTTTGGTGTCACCTCCTCAGAAAAGTCAGGCACTCGGTCATGGACTGAGAGCCCAACAGTTGCTTGAGAGACGAGGGGACCCATCGGCGTACCTTATCCAACCGAGTGAACGCCCCCTCCTCTCTCTGCTGGCGTCCATCACCAAGAATCCAATGTACTTTACAGAGAATGTGATTTCCAATCCTCTTAGAGGTGGGAAGACATTTCTATCTGAAGCCTTGTAACAGATACATAGAAACCGCTTACCTCACGGAGGGTGAAGACAAAAAGGAAGCAGATGAGAGGCTGGGAGTGTCCAGTAGTATATTATACCATTGTACAAAAAACATGAAGGGTGAAATGGAGGATTCCAGGTTCATAGAGATTAAGCTGTAGCAATGCTAATCTACTACTATTTGTCAGGAATACACCATAACATAATATGCAATGAACACAAATGTAGTATAACAAACTGTAGAACCAGCACATGATGATAGTCCAAAGAAATTCAAACTTTATTCCACATGCACCTATACAAAGAACAACCTCTGATGCGTTTCTGCTTTACTCTGCCTTTGTCATAGCATAACATAACCAGCTATGACTAAATAAGGGCATCACTGTTGTTCTTTGTATAGATGCATGTGGAATAAAGTTTGAATTTTTTTGGAAGATTCTCGTGTGCTGGTTCTACAGTTTTTGAGCCTAGCACTCCAGAAGAGAGTCATCCGTGCACCGAGTGTGGATTCCAAGGACGCATGATAGGGGTGAGTGGAGTGCTTTGTGTTTTTAGTCTTCAGTATAACAGAAACACCAAAAAATAACAGTGGCTGGACAGCATAATGATTACATGTAGTTCGGGATAGAGGATTGTGCCTGCGCGCAGGATAAATGCGTCCATGTACGATTACATGCAGATTGCCACTGACAGATGCGGTAGCTATCACACCGTCATTAACTACAATGGGTACAGTGGCTGCATCTGAAAGGGACGCCTGGGATTCCTGCCGCAAGAATCCTAGGTGTCCCTGTTCAGATATGTCAGCGACATCCCAGAACGCGGCATGTGCCCCCATGTGAATATAGTCTTAAAATCCTGTTTCCAGTATGCTAAGCGTGTCCTACTTTCTGCCTACAAGACATATCCTGCATGCTGTATATACACTGCATTGTCAGTCCCGGCATGTGAATGTCCTGACTCATGTCCTCACTTGTCTCGGTATCAATCTGTTTTACTAGGTTAAGTGGATTTAGCATAATAGCTTTATGTGTCACTGGACAGCAGGATAAACGATAATGAGAGCAAGGTAATGCCCAAAAAGATTACACATTTATCCTTGAATTAAAAGAGAAGTACAACAATCAGTTCTAATAACACGCTCACACGTTAGAATGAAAAACAAATATGCTTTTATCTTAAAGCTGGACCAAAGGCAGAAAAAAAAAAGAAATTAATAATACATTAAAAGTATTTTTTTTATTGCAAGTGGCAGCCAAGTATAACTCCAGTCAATACCCTTTCTACGCCACAACAGAACCCCATGATTCATTAACAATCTACAATTTCTGTCACAATCACTACTGCATATAGTGAATTTTCACTAGTCACATATTTTGAGTTATTATAGTGCTCAAGTTAAAGAAATTTTTTATGTGACTTTTGATATTGTAGACGAGCCACTAAAGAGTACACGCTCAGTGGTTCAGTGCAACTACTTTATTTTTTTTTAGATGTAAGCCCTTATAGAATGATTTTTAGTTTGATAAAGCACTGTGTAACATACACAAATACAATTTTTGTGATTAAAAATAATATTTTTTTAAATCTTGTTTGCATCTAAGTGCTGCTAATCTCCACCTTCTTTAGTCACTCCCTGTCTATATCCTGTCACTCCAGTGTAGGCTGCATATCATTGCTCTGGACTGGCTTCCATATAGTGGCAATGGCGGACCATGTCTGAGCAATGCGTGTCGTAATCTCCACCTAAAATGCACAGGACAAGATGACAATGAAGGAGCCCAACTGGCAGAGATTGATCACCTCATAACTGAGGAAGGAACTTCTTGGCTGAATTAAAAGGTATTCTTGTAATGAAAGCTACATACTCAAAGAAGAAAACAAAATGGAAACATTCATTAATTGGGGTTAGAACTCCTTTAAATAGACCCTTATAACGAATTTAAAAATTGCAGATAATTGCAGGTTTTCCCCTTCTGTAAATTATTTCTTTGCAATGTGTCTTTAAATTTGCTAGAACATTTGTCTACTTACGGAAGAGTCGATTGTCTAGCACAGACCCCTTCCTCCTTGCGTGGAATGGCCCTCTCCCCTTCTATGGGTGTGTAATTGCTGTCTGTAGTGGCCCAGATCCTCATTTCTGAACCTCCCTACATAACCTTTAAATAGCAGCCAGGGAAGGAGCAAAAGGGAATACGACAGAGCAGCATTTCTCAAATTGTTTTCAGTCGTGGCGCCTTTTAAACGTATGCAAAATCTCAAGGCACCCCAGTCTAAAATGTAACAAAAACACAAAAAACTGGGGTTGCTCCCTTCACATCAAAGTCCTCCTTTCACATCAAAGTCCTCCTATCAAATCAGGAGCCCCCCTTCACATCAAGCCCCACCCCCAC